ACGCAATTTATATATAGAATACTTTTACGATTTGAAATGAACTACTCAAAATTCAGCTCAGCAAATCCAATAAAATGCTTTAAAAAATCTTTTTAGTAAAACATTAATTCCCCATTAGTCATAGAAAGTCCTTAAAAGGATCCACGGAAAAGAATGCATAGAAAAAAGGGAGAATCTTCGATTCGTAGAATGTGACCGTTGTAATAGTGGCAACCTAGATTGATTCATGACCAATCGTGGCGTTGTTCAAATGCGGAGCGAGTGTACTCGATCCATGTAATAGATCGATCAAATGACCGTTGTCTTATATGTTCTTACAAGTCACGATCTGAGTAAGAACGACGCGAGGAATGCATTTATATGACTTCATCTATTTCGGAAAATCTGAATTTTTGGAAGGCTATTGTTATATTATTATAGCACACGATATCCGCGCATATTAATTTAACATACACAAGATATCTCAGAATCTTGTTTTCTCTCTTCATAATTAAAGGCAAAATTATTCTGAAATATAAAAAAGATAATTTTTAAAAATTAATAAAACTAAACTTTTTATAATTTAAACTTTCTATAATTTAATCTAAACTTTTTATATAATCCTATTTTTATTTAATCCATAAAATATAACGCAATTTATATATAGAATACTTTTACGATTTGAAATGAACTACTCAAAATTCAGCTCAGCAAATCCAATAAAATGCTTTAAAAAATCTTTTTAGTAAAACATTAATTCCCCATTAGTCATAGAAAGTCCTTAAAAGGATCCACGGAAAAGAATGCATAGAAAAAAGGGAGAATCTTCGATTCGTAGAATGTGACCGTTGTAATAGTGGCAACCTAGATTGATTCATGACCAATCGTGGCGTTGTTCAAATGCGGAGCGAGTGTACTCGATCCATGTAATAGATCGATCAAATGACCGTTGTCTTATATGTTCTTACAAGTCACGATCTGAGTAAGAACGACGCGAGGAATGCATTTATATGACTTCATCTATTTCGGAAAATCTGAATTTTTGGAAGGCTATTGTTATATTATTATAGCACACGATATCCGCGCATATTAATTTAACATACACAAGATATCTCAGAATCTTGTTTTCTCTCTTCATAATTAAAGGCAAAATTATTCTGAAATATAAAAAAGATAATTTTTAAAAATTAATAAAACTAAACTTTTTATAATTTAAACTTTCTATAATTTAATCTAAACTTTTTATATAATCCTATTTTTATTTAATCCATAAAATATAACGCAATTTATATATAGAATACTTTTACGATTTGAAATGAACTACTCAAAATTCAGCTCAGCAAATCCAATAAAATGCTTTAAAAAATCTTTTTAGTAAAACATTAATTCCCCATTAGTCATAGAAAGTCCTTAAAAGGATCCACGGAAAAGAATGCATAGAAAAAAGGGAGAATCTTCGATTCGTAGAATGTGACCGTTGTAATAGTGGCAACCTAGATTGATTCATGACCAATCGTGGCGTTGTTCAAATGCGGAGCGAGTGTACTCGATCCATGTAATAGATCGATCAAATGACCGTTGTCTTATATGTTCTTACAAGTCACGATCTGAGTAAGAACGACGCGAGGAATGCATTTATATGACTTCATCTATTTCGGAAAATCTGAATTTTTGGAAGGCTATTGTTATATTATTATAGCACACGATATCCGCGCATATTAATTTAACATACACAAGATATCTCAGAATCTTGTTTTCTCTCTTCATAATTAAAGGCAAAATTATTCTGAAATATAAAAAAGATAATTTTTAAAAATTAATAAAACTAAACTTTTTATAATTTAAACTTTCTATAATTTAATCTAAACTTTTTATATAATCCTATTTTATATATATATAATTATTATTTATTTAGATTTTGAAAATAAAAAAATAAATATCGCGCATTTGTAAGTAATCATATAGTATCAGGAATGTTTAAAAAATTATCGGATGACTATTTTATTATGCCGTATATTATAATTATTATTTATTTAGATTTTAAGTTATCGAAAATAAATATCGCGCATTTGTAAGTAATCATATAGTATCAGGAATGTTTAAAAAATTATCGGATGACTATTTTATTATGCACACATGCCGTATATTACATCGTGATGCAAACGTGTGACAATTCTATTAAAAGAAGTTTGTGCAACTATAGTTAGAAACATTGGATTAAGCATATTAATAAAATTATCCAGGGATTATAATTATATCACGAATCGTAATACGAACGTGCAGCAGTTTCGTCAAGTTAATTCCGCGCAACTGTAGCTCCAAACATATTGCTTCAATATATTAATAAAAATATACAATAGTACTTATCTATTTTTAATCATAATTGCTACGTGCGTGTTTTTCTAAAACTTTGCATAATGTTGATATTATCAAAAAAAGTTTTGCGAATAAATACATATCGTAAAAATAATACATATCGTAAAAATAATGCGAATTATGACATATAAGTAGAGATCGCGTCAGGAACCGAGTCAAATACGTTTACAGTTTAATAATTAACATGCATCATCGAAACTTCGAAAATTAAATTTTTTCAAGTAAAATCTGGATGAGTTCCTCGTCGACAAAGAAATTGACAGAATGACAGTGGTGTTGCACCGATTGATTAGTCAATTTATTTATTATATTCGCGTGATTAGTAAAATTACCTTTTTTTAAAAAAATAAAAAAATATATCTGCCAAATGAATGCGTAAATTAGGCAAAATTCACGCACTTCGATTAATACAAACATTTTTATTGCATCAAACTTAAATTTTTAATGCCATTTTAATATAGAAATAGTGAAAAAATAAATAATAAAGATTCAGATATCTTAAACAATTTATAAGAATAAATAAATTCTAAATTTACATATTTAATAAGGAAATTACATAATTTACGAAAAGAATTTCTTTTTAAATATTTAATAAAAATTCAAGATAGCAGACAAAAAGACCAAAAGATAAATATAAACATCTAATTCTGTCGTATGAATTGTTCAAATGATTATAAATTCTAATAGAAATCAAAACGGATGAAAATTATAAATAATCATTATATTTTGTGATAATTTTACAATTGATAATTCAACACTCACCTGTATGATTTCTCCAACGATGCACGGATGCGAATATATATATCTCAATTAAATATTTCGCCGAGTCAAACCGTGCAATTTTCCAATTATTTCCAGAAATGAGAACACAGCAATACGGGAATCACAGGATCGAGTGGCTAAAATTAAACGAAAAATCGCGATGACATCAATCGTTTACTAATCACAATTAACTTACCACTAAACGAACACAAAATATTCCGCGTATGAATTTATTTAGATAGCGATTAAATTATTATATTATTAATATAATAGAACAACGAACCTCGAACGTGTTTGCGGCCCGTCTATTGAGATGTACAGCGTGATATTGTTTGCATACCTTTCCCCTTCCATTTGTTGTCATTCGCGCGCCAAAAGTTAAATAAACATAGGCAAAAATAATACGCGTTGCTCCGCGTGTAGGTATATATATTCCGTTGTATACATATATATTTCGTTGTATATTGTGTCTTGAAACACGACTGTATCGATTAATAGATGCTAAAACGCGATCATTCCTATTACAGTAATTATAATTAGCGATTATTAATCCGTGCGAATATAATCACTTGTCGCGTATTAACTCGACCGCATAGTGCCGTCTAGTATCGAAATTATGTCGCCGACTGAAGTTAAACGAGAAGCCATGACGTAAAAGTCAACCGTTTATTAATGATTAATTTAAAGCTCAACAGACACAAAGTAGTATTCCGCGTATGAATTTATTTAGATAGCGCGCGTCAAATTATTATATTATAACTGAACAACAAACCTTGAACGTGTGCTTACAGCCCGGCTGTTGCGACGTGTAACGTGATATTGTTTACATACGCTGGTGACTCTTCCCCCTCCATCTTAAGGTCATTCGCGCGCCAAAAGTCGGGCAAGCAGGCGACAACGCGAGTCGCTCCGTGTATTTCGTTGTATTGTGTCTCGAAACGCGATCGTGTCGATTAGTAAACGCGATCATTTCTATTACAATAATTATAATTAGAGATTGTCAATTCGTGCGAATAATTACTTTCCACTATTATCACGTCGTTAATTCGACCCCGTACCCCGTAGTGGCCGTCCGATATCGAGGTTACGTTTTGTCGATTTGCTCGGTCAGTGAAGTGAAACGTCGTAAATGATCGCAATATATAAATAAAGTTCACGTTCGACGATGCAATCAATTATCGGTAATGTCGCGCGATCGCGTAATTAATCTCGTGTGTATTTTCGCGTGAGTGCCATGAACGGAGGACGAGAGGAGGAGGAGGTCCGGGGAGGCGTCGGGCGACGGCGGAGCAACCGTGAGGTAAGCAGTTTATAATTTTGTTAATTATATTATTTAATTAGAAATGTTGGTGATTTTTTACGAAATTTTATTTTTTAACATAATACCCAGGAGAATATTTTATGCGTAGTACTTTAACGTAAAATCTCTCTTTCTCTCTCTCTCTCTCGATCGCTATCGCGGAATAATTTTACAAAAATTGATAATTGATTTAATTAATTATATTAATTATTCTATTAATTTATAATATAATATATCTTATAAAGATACGCGCGTAATAATTTTTCTTTCCGTTATATATTGATTATCTCGGATATATTGCTTTAATTTTGATATATTTGTTTATAGATCTATCAAAATAACTTGTGTACTGCTACAACTCCGCCGTTGCGCATCGTGCCGGTGAGTGTTAAATTATTTTTTATTTAAATTGTGGAGGCAATTGACTGGATTGATAAAAGTATCAATACTTTATATATTCTCGGGGAGGACAATTTACATATTCAAATAAATAGAAGTACGCGCGTCAGCGATATGTAGGTAGGGTTAGGTAGAGATTTAGCGGGAAATTCTCCCTCTGGTACAGTCGGTAATGTAGGTGGTTAAGTCGGTAATGTCGGTGTGTCATACGTAGACAGTTTCTTGAAATTTCTACTCAGTTTTCTAAAGTTTGTTATATACGATTTGTTGAACACGCGCGTCTAAATTCAATTTTGGACCGTAGTCTGGGTCAGGATAAATGCCATATGTACGATTATGTTGACATTTGGATATTCTTATCGCGAGTAAAAGTATGTCTAAAGCAAGAGCGATTCCACATAACCTCATTCAATGGGATCAGAGTGACAATCCTTTGGCCCCATTGACAATATGTCAAAAGGATTGTTTAACGAATCTCGAAACTGCCATAACTTCGTATTTTCCGTCATCGAATCTGCAAACCAATGTAATCCATAGCGATAAAGAGAAATTGCAAAAGCAGGATTCCCAGGAAAACAACCTTCCGATAGAAAGGTATCAGGAGTTACTTCAGCATTACTTGTCTTTAGAGAGGAAATACATGTCCATGCATGATATGAAGTACAATCTGTATCTCGACGAGCTGAAGTCGAGGAGATCTGAGTGCCACGAGGTTTGTTCTCAGATAGAGAAGGCATTGGATGATCTTTCTGCACTTTATAAACAGTATAACGAAGTTTCTGCTAAAACCACTTCTCTATACGATGCTAGTGAGCAACTTATTTCTGATCAGAAGCAGCTGAACGCGACAATCGACAGTATTACAGAATATGTTAGATATTTCAAGGAAATCAATATGATCACAGAGAAATTAGATGCGCCTACCTTGTCGATCAATAGCGAAATGTTTTTCGCTATATTAGACAAAATTGATACAAATATAAACTTTATGCAGAATAACTCGTCATATAATGAAAGCGGAGTTTATTTGATACGATACAGGCATTGCCAGTCAAAGGCAATTACACTGATACAGAATTATATTTTCAATCTGTTCTCTAAAACTACAGAGAGCATTTTAAATTTAAAGGATAGCGAAGGCTCACCAGAAAATACAGATACAGCACTTGCTTTATTTTATGGCAGATTTCAGACAATTTTGTCCAAGACAAAACCAGTTATTGAACAGATTGAAAACAAGTCATACAAGAGACAGGAATATGACAGTCTATTGCTTGAATGTCATCAATATTATTGGAGTCAGCGAGGCTTAGTGTTAGGTGCAAGTATACAAAAGTCTTTGAATTCTGTCAGGGAGAAATACAATGGTGATCATTGTAGTTTAGTACGACACTCTTGTGCACTGCTCTTGCACGCATCGATAGATGAGCACAAACTTTTTTATGAATTCTTTTCGAAACAATCGAACGGGCTGACCGCATATTTGGAGAGTTTATGCACTTCGCTGTACGATGCATTACGACCTTTCATAATACACATCAATCATCTTGAGACGTTGGCAGAAATCTGCTGTATTCTACGAATAGAAATGTTGGACGAATATGTACAGAACAATTTCGAACCGTTGGAAGGCTTTGGAAACATATGCTTGCAGCTGTTACACGATGTGCAAGAGAGATTGGTATTTCGCGCGCATTTGTATCTACAATCCGACGTGTTGAACTACAATCCTTCGTCAGGAGACTTGGCGTATCCAGAAAAATTGAAGATGATGGAAGACATAGCGGAGTCGATTAGAGAAGAGAATCGCCAGACTCGTATGAAAAAGATCTCAGTGTCATCTGCTGACAGTTCTGTTCTAGAACCGGTCTCTCGAAATCATATAGTCATGGATTCTATTTACCAAAAGACACACATGGGAAGTTCTCCGGCAGATCTACATGCTATGTGGTATCCTACAGTTCGCAGGACTCTGGTATGTCTATCAAGGCTTTATCGCTGTGTGGATAGATCTGTGTTCCAATCGCTGAGCCAAGAGGCCATTTCCCTCTGTGTCCAAAGCATCGAGAATGCCAGGCAAGAAATTGAGAAGAGAGCGAGCATTCTGGACGCGGAATTATTTCAAATAAAACACTTGCTGATCCTTAGAGAGCAGATTGCACCGTTTCAAGTTGACTTTACTATTAAGGAATATAGTTTGGACTTCTCCAAAGTGAAGACCGCAGCATTTGGGCTGCTTGAGAAAAGTTCCAGGCTCTTCACCTTATCGAACAATGCATTATTACAGTTTCTTTTGGAAGGTGCACCACAGATGAAAGAACAACTCATTGATTCGAGAAAACATGTGGATGCAAAGTTGAAGTTTACATGTCAACGATTGATACAACACGCAACTTATTTATTGATTAATCCTATTATCAAGTTATTGGAAAAGGACAAATTGCATGATGCAAACTCCAGTCAGGAAAATGCACTAGGAAGTGCAAAGGAAGTGGCAGCCATAGTGGTTGATGTTTTAAGGATAATTAAGTTTAAATGTCCTGAGATACAGCAATCGATGCAATTGTATTTGGCTAATAAGGAAACTGAATTTATTTTATTTAAACCGATAAAAAATAATATTTGCGCCGCGTTCACACAGTTGCATCAAATATTGAATAAGTATTATAATGCAGAGGACCTTTTGTTAATCGCGTGTCCTTTACCAGAACAGATTTCTGTTATGTTGAGCTCGACGACGCTGGTTCAAGGAAAATTAAATCGGGAATCAAGCTTGAAACGGTCGCAGTCGATTACTAAACAAGAAGTTTAAATTTTAAAATTTCCGTATTTATTTTATTTTTCGAAATTATATAGAGTATTGGACAGAATAGTGAGTTAGTTATAATAAAACGAACAAAAATAAAAATTTCGTATGCTAGATGTAATTATTTATATAAACGTAAAAAAATTTTATAATTAAAAAAATAAAAGTAAAGTTGAAATAAAATTAGTAAATTGATTAAATTTTAGAATTAAATCGAATAAAGATAGAAAAAGATAGATTTTGACAGAGATACATTAGTTTTCATATATAATTGTATTTTACGATACAATATATATATATATATCTTATAATTCTATAAATATAATTAACTAAAATAAAGTGATTAAGTTTTTCTTATTATTAGATTAAATTAATTATTCATTAAAAATAAAATTTGGAGTTAAATTAAATCTTTGCCATCTATTTAAAAAAAAATAAAATCGTTATTTATATCTAATATTTTAGTTTTTTTCAAAGAAAACTATGATTTACTTATTTTATTATCATCGCTATAATACAATTTATTTTTTGTTATTGTTGTGTTTTCTCTAATTTTTGTCATTTTATTTCATAATATAATTATATATAATTTCTGGCAAATTTTTGTGATGAAAGTTATTTTCGTATAAATAAAAATTTTAAATTTTTGCATTGTTATGTAACTTTTGAAATTGTATAATAATACATGTATATAGCATTTAGATAAAAACTTTGTTAGAAGTATAATTATATGAAATTGTGGGAAATGTAAATAGAGTTAATATTAGAAAATAAAGTTATATAATCTTCTGCGGCAAAAAATATATATAACAATTTAATTCTTATAATTTATATAGTACAAACATATAATAATATTCAAATTATTATAATATATTACATTTATTATGATGCCACTGCAATTTTTGGAATAATATATATTTACTGAAACATACACATTTAAAACATACATTAATATATTTAAAATATAATAGGATATTATTGTTTTATTTAAAAATAGTTAAATATTGGACGAGAGGTATATTGGAGCGATATTATAAATCAATAGATTATCAATTTCATTGAATACGAGCAAATTACTTAAATATTGACAAAATTAATTAAATTCCACAAAAATTTGTTCTTTGATAAAAACTAATAACTGGATAACAGAATCTGGGATTTTATAAAATTGTATATTTTTTACAGAGAGAAAAAACATGTTCTAAAATTTGTGGTTATAAACTTTGCACGCATACAATCGTTAAAATAAACGAGAAGGCCTAACCTACACATAAAGTTTATACCATAAATTTTTGAACATTCTGTATATTTGATGAGTTTCAATTTTGGATACTTACTCATCCGTTTGTGTTTCTGTGTATGTTTGAACTATAACACATTCGAGGTATGAAACAAAAATATGTGAGAATACAGAGCATCATCGCCATAATCAATACAAACCACAATGTCCAAAATAATAATAAACGGAATTTCATACAAAATGGACTAGAAACGTGATAATACTTTGGAGTTTCTCTATTATCTGAAATAAGAAACGACCTACTATTTAATGTATTTTGATGCACTCAATATTATTTTGAACTCCACTCTATTTTTATTATATATATATTTATATATCTTCCATCGACAAATATTTATAAAGTATTTAATGTGCTATTATTTATAAAACAATTTACGAATAAAATATATACGGTACTCTTTCCGATACCTTTTAATTATTATATTTTCAAATTAGGGAGCTATAAAGATTAAAAATAACTTTCTTTTATTATTTCTACAAAAGAAAAAGAGAAATTTTTAATTAAATAGCATAATGAAACTTTACGAACCTTTGAAATGTTTCCTCTCCATTTTCTCGATAATAATAAGAGGGATGGTGTCGTAAATCAGGTTTTTCTGAGCAAAGGCGGATTTTTCCTGTAGCTCCATTTTGTAATGCTTTCCTTGATATACACAATAACAGTATAAACTTTGCGCAGAGAAATTTTCAAATACTTCTAATTGAACCTTTTCATTTTGTTTTCTTTTCGATATTTACGAACCTGTCGACATAAACATCGTTCGTACGAAGATTTAGATTGAATTGTGTGAAAGAAAAATTGTTTGGCTAACGACAGTATGGGTAAAGATAGCAATATATACGAAAGATAAAAGTGCAAAACAGCCATTAATTAACTGTATATTATTGTAGTCATTATTTTCCCGAGTTATCCGCTGTCTATTCTTATTAATTAAACGTGAATATGTATACTGATAACATATAATTGGAGCGGTCAATTCTCGGGGTCAGGCTCAACTTTTTTGCGATAACATTCTCTCTGGATACATTATTAAAAATCGTCTGCCAACAAACTCTGTGAAATTCGTAAAAAGATGCATAAAATTTAAAATAAAATATATCTCACATTTTTTCCGATTGATGATTGTAAGTTATCACTGACACACTTCACACTCCGAGTGAAATTTGAGATGGATTTTTTCTTCTCAGATTTAATTTGTAAATAAATATAACATAGATGTCGATTCATCCACGTCTTCGCAAAGAATAGATCATCAAGCATATTTACCGCGTAAATATCTTTATTATAATAAACTCGTGTTCTTCGATGTATGCACCTGATGATCCCGAATGACCTCCGCGAACATCTGGTTATGCTTTTTTTAGCTCATTATGAGTCACTATTTAAAGTAGTTTCTGCTTTGTGCTATTATTGACATTAGATGATCTTCTTAATTATTTTCAATTCGAATCACTTTCCATCTAAGGATTCTTAAGCTACTAAAGATTAAGCTAATTATAACAAAAAGTATTTTAATTAAATCACACGCGTTTTATTTATTAAAAGTTTCGGATTAATATTACATTTATTAAATATATAGCTTCTATCGATTTTATTTAAGTATCGCGATTTATGATATTTTTTTCTGCGTGATTAATTATAAAAATATTGAAAGACCAATAGTTCTTAAATTATAAATGATTCAAAATATAGCGTTTTTGGGGGGAACTAATTTTATTTACAAATGATGAAACTTTATACTTTTTATTAAATTTTAAGTAAATAAACAGATTCTTATAAAATTTTTTAAACTGTTAAAAATTAGTCACAAAAAAGATTTCTTTAACTCTTCAGAATTAATCATAAAAAAATTTGCATTAGAAGATAAATATGTTTTTGATATCTTCTTAAAAAAAGTTTTTTCAAAAAATTTATTCCAAATTAATCGAAGTATCTATTAGTGAAACATAATGATCTGGAATGCTGCATCTAAAATATTGTATATGTGATTATCAAGAACCTGATAAGCGCCTTATATACATATGTATTTAGAATTCTATTTTTTATTGTACAAATTCTTATTTCTTTCCTACATTATGTATAAAGTTTGTACGATGCTATTACAATTATAATGGCGCTTATCATTATTTGAGATACAGGTATAGAATTTGAGGCTGCATTATCAGACTCTTCTCCTTTTTTCGTCGTCCTGTCAGTAGGATTGGTTGTTGTCTCGGTTATGGGAGATGTAGTGGACTCGTTTTCTGTCGCTAAAAGAATATTTATGAGTAACATATTATATATTGATAAGATCTATAATTACTGTTATTTTAACGAGATTGATAAATATTGATAAATTTGTGATTGTAGTTAATTAAAAAAACACGCACTTGTGCTAGGTTTAGTTGAGTTTTGTTCCTTTTTTTCTTGGCCCTTTAATACAAATGCGGCATTCGCTGTTAATTTAATATTATCCCGTGGAACAATATTTCTAAAAACATATATTAATTTATAGTGATTCGCGAAAATCGAATAAAATAACAAAAAAATCAATTATTATTATATGTGTCGGGAACTAGTATCGTACAATGGAAAAGATAGTTTCTCATAAAAATAAAAGTCGAAAATATTAAAATTGCTTAACATTTTTAGAATTTATTCCGTCTAGTCATTATTTTTTTTTTTGTCCGGGATTCTATTTCCAAGAAAATTGATTTAAAAAATTGCCAGATTGATAACATATTCACGCTTAAATAATTAATGACTCAGAAACTATTAAATTTTGTAAACATTTTTGTAAAGAAAAATTTAATTTAGAATTGGCTAAAGATTTATAAATTTATTTTTAATAAAGATTTATATAAAAAAATATTACTTTTTTCTTATTAACGGAAAAGATCGATTAAAAAGAATGTAGAAACTATTCGGTAATATTCTGTACACTATGTGATGAAACTTACGTGTCGCAAATTGCATTGCTAGAAGCCACAACAATCTCTAAAGTTTTGTCCAAATTAGGATATATAGAAGTCAGATTAATCTTCTCTCGCCGCAGACCCAGATTAACTACAATGATGTATAATTCGGCCGGATAATTTTCCAAGAATCTAATTCAATCAAAAATATAATTAACAACAAAAATTGCAATTTTTTTATATGACTTTCGTAAATTTCTATATAATTTACACACATACACAAATAGTATAAATTTAAAAAAATGTTAAATAATTTAGAGAAATAATATCTTATAAATAATATAGATATTTTATTTTTACAAATCCCAATATTAACAAGATATTATCTATTATTATATATATTTTTTTAATGTGCCAACCTTTTTAACACCAACACGTGATCATGATTTAAACTTGCAAGTTCATAATCTCCATTCCTAAAAATTGGATTTTTTCTCAAAATAGCCAGGTTTTTGTATGTCTTTAAATTACTCTCATTTTTATTTTGTTGCACCTCCACATTGTTGTTATAATGATGATGAACAGGGAGATATGTAGTTTTATTTTTTGAAAAGCCAGCTGAAATTTCGGGATTCCATTGCATGGGAGTTCTCACTGGATCTCTCGAGAAATATTTGTACTTGTTTATGCCACTGGCACATCCTATGGGATCGATAGTTTCATTCCAACTTATCTTCGTATCCAACATGGCTATTTCTTCGCCGTAATATGTATATGCTTGTCCAGGCAAAAGCAAACTAAGCATATGAAGGCCGTCGACTCGATTAAATCCGATTCTCGAGGCTGCTCTCGAATTATCATGATTTGAAAGCTGCATTTGTAAAAAATAATTATAGATGAATGACACCAGAAACGTACATTAAATTAGTATTTATATATTTTTTAATTATTAGTAAATAAAAAGAGAGAGAGAACGAATATATGTAAGTATCTTCTAAGTATCAAATAATATAATACAATAATAAATATATATAAAATAATATTAAATTTTTTTCTTGATTCTGAAAATTACTTTTAATTCAGTGCTTATTCTTTTCGGGAAGACCAAAGGTATAAATGCCTTTTTCGGTTTCGTTTCTTAAGGCTTTGTCTTCGAAGAAATACGGCACTGTATTAATTTGGAAACCGTCAACCTCTCTTTTCAACCAAAAGTCAAATATATCCTATTGACAAAAATTAATCATTTATAAATTATTTATGATAAAAAAATACGAATTATATTCCGGAATCTCGTACCTATTTTTTAAATAAAAATTGGAAATGTGTATATATTAATTATTAATTGAATATATTAATATAGTTCATACACATATATTAATTAAATATTTTTTTGAATTTAAAGAGAGAACGTAATTTATAATACATATTTTTACTCTTTTTTAATTTATTTGATTTACTAATTAATATTAAATTGCTTTTGAATTTAAAAGTTTTAAACTTTACTAAATTGTTAAAAAAAATTACAATCTGCTGTAAGAAAATTAGAATCTTACATTCTAACTTTTATTCTTTTCAGTATTTTTAAATATTTATTTTATTTTTTAATTTAGATTTAGAAATATAAAAAAATATTTTCTTATTTATATATTAAGTAAATATATATATTACCATTAATTCTTTGATCACTTTCTCGTTTCTCAGATTAAGGTCCGGTTGAGAATGATGAAATTTATGATAATACCATTGTTGTCTCTTCTTATGCCACGTCCATGCAGATTCTTTGTTATCGTTGTATATGCTTGTCTATACGAAAATAATGAAAAAAATATATTTTTTCCTATCTTTATTTAAAATAGATAAGTTTTCTTAAAAGAGATTGTTGGAATAATGCTATATTAATAAAACAATAAAACTGGCAAAAATATACCCAGTTATTTGGTGGAATATTTATGCCATTTTTATCGATACTACCATCTGACCAAATGTAATAGTCAGTGTACGGCTCGATTTTTTGTGCCGACATTTGGAACCATTTGTGTTGATCGCTGGAATGATTCGGAATAATGTCGAGAATGACTTTTAATTCTAAAAGGAATTAACAAAAATTAAAAATAAACAGGCGAGTTTAAAAAATTGCATATTATTATACCTCGATTATGTGCCTCTTGTATGAAATTATCGAAAATATTTAAATCTCCGAAAAGGGGATGTATATCTGTATAGTTGGAAACGTCATATCCTGAATCGATCAATGGCGAAGGGTAAATAGGATTTAACCAAATTGTCTCGATTCCGAGATCATTGAGATAATCGAGTCGATTAATAATACCTGTGATTTAATTGTGTTAAAGAAATTTAATAATATACGCATTAAAAAAATATGTTGAAAATATTTTTATAGCATATTATATAAGCGTGAATAAATATATATATGAATATATATATTAATACGAATATTTCACGAATTTATACGTGACCGATGAAAACTTAATTTGATGATATAATTTCCTATTCTAAAGCAATTTGTGTGACTTACCCTTCAGATCTCCCTCGCCATCACCATCGCTATCCTGAAATCCTCTAGGCCAAATCTGATAAACCAATGTAGTTTCCCACCATTTTCTATCCGCAGGCTCTTCACTATTCACGTCGCATATAAAAAGTCCTAAAGCGCTTATCAATACGACATAGCGTATAAGCGCTAACATGGCGTATTAAATATGGTAAATCTTCCTCGCTGATTGTTAGCTGATTAACTGCACTTCTGCTTGATCACACTCAATTTAAATATTTTATTTATATTAATATATTTATTAATATTCACATATTTTTTTCCATACGTCCGTTTGCGACACAGTCTTCTCGTGGACGATGTAAAAATGATGCGGGAAAAATTTCACGGTCTGCACAATAGATAACTATGTTATCGGTGTCGCGGCCCCGCTTATCACCGTTGTGATTTAGGGTAGGGATATTCAAACATTCCTATTCTATCAATCCTTCTATCAAGAACTGATAGTCTACATTCTCGAAGAAAAGTCTTTGTTTATATCCTGATAGCAACGACGTGCAGATTATATGTACAATATATGCAGAATAGCGATAATTTTTTTTATTTAATTTAGAATTGGCTAAAGATTTATAAATTTATTTTTAATAAAGATTTATATAAAAAAATATTACTTTTTTCTTATTAACGGAAAAGATCGATTAAAAAGAATGTAGAAACTATTCGGTAATATTCTGTACACTATGTGATGAAACTTACGTGTCGCAAATTGCATTGCTAGAAGCCACAACAATCTCTAAAGTTTTGTCCAAATTAGGATATATAGAAGTCAGATTAATCTTCTCTCGCCGCAGACCCAGATTAACTACAATGATGTATAATTCGGCCGGATAATTTTCCAAGAATCTAATTCAATCAAAAATATAATTAACAACAAAAATTGCAATTTTTTTATATGACTTTCGTAAATTTCTATATAATTTACACACATACACAAATAGTATAAATTTAAAAAAATGTTAAATAATTTAGAGAAATAATATCTTATAAATAATATAGATATTTTATTTTTACAAATCCCAATATTAACAAGATATTATCTATTATTATATATATTTTTTT